TAGACTTTGTCAAAATTCAAGGAATCCAAGAAATAATGAGTCATACTTCATGAAATGCACTAGGAAAGCCACATCAAGTAACTGTTGACCACTCCTGGTGAAGCTTATACCCTCCTTGGGAAAGCAACTTGGGCAAAATTTCTGAAAAGCAAGCTTTTCACAAAGCAAACATGACAAACTACTCCCTGCCAACTTTAACTTGCAACACTGAGGAAATGCAGTCGAGGAGCTGAATAATCACCAGGGTTCAGCACTCAGGAACATCACCCCTGCTCTAATGTAGCATACAGTTGCATTAAGAAATGCATTATTCTGTTTTTTAACACATCGGTCAATTTCAAAAGAAAATGAAAACGAAAACCAAACATTCTAAATTTTTTTTAAACAACTTCCCTTTTCCTGTTTCTCCCTGTGTGCTCCTTTTGAATCTTCCTAATTCATCACAAGACACTACAGAAGTGGATAAAACACACACCTGCAGCTATTCTGATACAGGAGTCAGCACATTCTTCCCCTTCCAAGACCCCCACCCATATGACCTGCAAGGATTTGTATCCTCTATCCTGCCCTTCAACGGCAACATAAGACCGGCCATTCTGAAAATAGTGGGAGATCACAGGCTCAGCTGCCAATAGTACATCAAGGACACAACAATATACTCTGCCCCATTGATGTAACCAGCCCCACTACTAGGATGTCAATACATTTTTTTTTTCTCCCCTCCCCAGGGAAGCAAGTCTGGTGATCAATTTGTGAAAAGTCAGCAATTTCGAACGGGGAATATAGGAGATGTGTATTCAGCAGAACAATGGACGTGAAACAGGGAAGCAGGTTACTTGGGTACCACAACATTAAGTACTTTCTGACAAAGACTGCATTAGCAGATGACAGGAGACTGAACACATAGCAAACAAAATGCTTTGCAGATTTTCCTGTCCTTGATGTTGCAGCTGATCTGGAAGAGAATGTGCAAAGTCCCTCATGCAGAGATAGCCTTTGATCTTAGTGTACTAACTTGATACACTTACAAATCTGTATGTGCCTTTTGTCTTCCACCCTCCTCAAAGAGGGTCTACAAATAAAATAATGAATTATCTGAGGCTGCTCTGTTATAAGGAAATATATTTTAAATGGCTTTCTTAAATCAACTTTGTAAATGTATTTTTTCCTTTTTCATGCTTGACATTCAAGCAGAAAGAAGAAAGATTATGTGCTATGATCTGTAGAATATTAAACTCCTCCTCGGGACAACTTTGTCTGGAGTTATCAAAATCCCTGTATTTACTGAATATGAAAAAGCAGAGGTTGATGGAGTTGGCTTTTAACTGCTAAAATCTTTTGTGGGTAAAGCATAGCTATTAATAGATAATAGCTATTCACCTTGAAGATTGTAAATTAATTTCCAGATGACCTCATACAATAAGTTTAGTTTCTAGATTTGTCCCTTTGAAAAACAGTAGGGGCTTAGAGGAATTACACCCTCTGCTTCTCTACAAATAACTACAAAACAACAGCCTGCTCCCATGACAGAAGCCAGAACTCTGTTCTGAAAGTGATTTTTAACAGGCTGGCTTGCAGACCTCATGACAGACTTTTCTGAAGGAGTGGTGGGAGTTATGGCATTCTGCCTCCTCATGGTTAACATTTATGACTAGATGCCTTTCTCCAAGTCTTTACAATTAGCTATGTATACTTCAGAAACAGGTTATCCTCGGATGCAGAAGTGGTTTATTTCAGAGCAACACGTTCTTCTCGCTTTGCTTTAGCCAACAGAGGTTGTAACTGTAGAAGGATACTTTGATGTTATTTTTTATTCTTTGATGAAAAACCTTGAAGAGACTGTAGTGCTGTACATAACAATTGTCCACATTTGGCATCTTAACATGGTAAATTCATGGACTACGTCTGGTATAACTTTTCCAATACTATTTTCTAGATCTGAACTAGTCACCCTGGATCTCCTTGATAACTAATAAAGAAAAGAGGAGGCATTTCTCAGGTGTGATCCACACCAGCCTAGTATAGATGACATTAGATGAGCCATGCCCTGGAACTGTCTAATTCTCTCCACTACACAAAGGTGCACAGGCTGATAAATTCATATACAAATGCTTTAACTTTGAGACCTCAAAGTCACTTGAGATGCAGCGCATTCATTCACAGGGAGTTTTCTCCACTAGTGATATTTGGTGTGAAATGCCTGCTTTGCTTTACATAAACAGAAGGAGAACAGCAGAGCTCTGTTCACACAGTACCCATATAACAAGCTAAGGAGTACGTAATTAGCTGAATGTGAACCAGCAATGAGTCCTCACAGCAAAGAAGGCCAACAGTACTCTGGACTGCATTAGGCAGAGCATCACTAGCAGGGCAAGGGTGGTGACCCTTCTCCTTCGCTCAGCCCTGGTGAGACACATCTGGAGTGCTGGGTCTAGCGCTGGCACCCCAGCACAAGAGAGAGATGGACTTACTGGCGTGAGTCCAACAAAGGGCTACAAAGACAACTACGAGGACCGGAGCATCCATTGTATAAGGAGAGGATGAGGGAGCTAGGACTGCTCAGTCTGCAGAAGAGACAGCTCAAGGTGGGAGACCCTCATCAATTTGTATGAATACCAGGTACAGGCAGTAAAGATGAAGCTAGGCTCCTCTCTGTGATGACCAGTGACAGATCGAGAGGCAATGAGAACAAATTGAAATACAAGGCATTCCATGTAAACATAAAAGCTTCCTTTGTTACTGTAAGAGTGGTCAAATGGCAGAACAGGCTGCCCAGAGAAGCTGTGGAGTCTCCACCCATACATAGAAACACTCAAAACCCAAGTGCTGCTGTAGCTAACCGTGTTCTGAGCAGGGAGTTGGACTAGATGATCTCCGGAGGTGCCTCCTTGCCTCAGTCATTCTGTGATTCTGTTACCAAGACTGAACTGGTATCTCCTGTGCAGAAGTGAATCTCATCTCTCTTGCATTCATACGAAACCTCACTTTCTTCTAGTCTTGGCACCAGAAAAACTTAATGAAGCTTATCATCATTGCCAGTAGAGAGGGAAGATGCATGCGCTCTCTTGGTAATTTCACTGAACTGCAACCCTTTGGCTTTTTGAGCTGTTTCATATTTTAGAGAAGTATCCATCTCTCATCTCTACTAGGACCTCACTGCTGCATGTGTAGCATGAGTGACAAATTTTGTCTCCAATATGACTATATACACATGACTTTGGGAGGCATATCCAGTGGTGGATCATCTATGGTTGAGTAGAAAATCCTACTCATGGAGAGATAAAGGATCTTCTGTTCACTCCTCTCCCAGCTTTGCATCTATCAAAGCAAAGCATCAAATGGATTTCCTCTGAAGGGAGGAAAACCTTTAGGTGTACCCACACTCATTCCTGAGCTCGCTGCTGTTGCCCATCATAGCTCATTTCCTAACTCATCGCTGACTCTCTTTTTGCAAAGGCTATGTTAATCGGCTGAAAAGATAAGGGTGCTTCTTACTATATAAAAGGCCTGACATTAGAGTGATTTATATTGTCTTTGTAATTGGAATAAACTGCACTAGACAGTTTTGCTTTATAATGAAAAGTTTGTTTGAACTTCAGGCATTCCTTGAGCCTCTCTTTCTCAGGCTCAGTTAGTGACACAAAGCACCCACACCGTTGGAAAGTCTTAAATGAAAAATTTCTGTGTAAGTTGAACAATATTTTTTCCTGAGTGCCGTTTGTAGTTCACATTCTGCAAAAGAACCCCATTTTTAAAACTGAAGTATATATACCAATTTGAATTACACTAAGGAACAAGGTTTACCATAATGGCCTTCAAAAATGTACTATTCAACAGAAATACTGGCCTACTCCAGACATTCCAAAAACATCAGCTTGCAATTGCTGAAGGAACTTCCCAAGAAGGATATACTCCACCTGTAAAACTGCTGATTTCTGCAGAGAGACTTCCTCCCAAATTGTATTTTATGTTTAGAGGATGATAAAAAAAAGATCTTTACCACATATTTTTCCAGAGATTTTTTTTCCCTTCCCAGCTTTACATGTCCAGAAAAAGATGATACAAAATGACCCGTTTCCAAACTAACCCAACTCTAGAATTCTTTCAGGGATGACTAATGCCAATGTAAGGCTCTGCCTACGATTGTGCGACGGTTTTCAATAATACAAACATACAGATCTTATTTAACACTTCCCTAATCAAGAAGAACTTCTCACAGATAACAAGTACAACCATAATGAAATCCAAAGTTTGAGGAGCTCCTACTGGAAATTCAGGACCTAATTTTAACCTCACTGGGTTCAAACAACCCATGAAAAGAAAGGCTATGTTTTGCAATATTTCAATTATTTCACTGTCAAGCTGTACTGCAAATTAGTTTCATTTATTGCTGCCTCTCCAAATCCTTCAACATTCCTATTTCTCAGGACTTTCTCCCGCATTTTCTGCATTGTGAATTTTAGGATTGTTTTTTGTCAAAATCACTTAATACATCTGGTTCGTTCTTTTATGTCTTTATTCTTCTTTTGCACTAATGCTCTTTCCTTGTGTAATTCAGAACAGGCATTTCTCCTTTCCTTTATAAAATACAACATGTTCAAGAAAAAACCCCATGAATCCCTACAGGAGCTTAATAAAAAGTTACCCTTAATATTAATACTTTGTTGGGCCTTTGATTACAGTACCAACATAGTGCCATGGACTTTGATTTGACACCTGGAAGCTCTTTACCTGTCTCTTAAGAAGCAAAGACCAGACAAACAAGTAAAACCCACAACCCTTCCCTTCCCCATGAAAAAGAAAGGTTTACTCTATAATAGCCATGTTACAAAAAATCCTCAACAACTCAAATCCTCTAAAAGTGCAACATAATTTTTGAAGTGTAATGTCAAACCACTATGATGTTTCTATGTTTCTATGGTCAGGCTAGACTCACACAGACAACTGAAAGGCATCCTAACGTATGAACATGCTATATAAGGCTTTACCATGGTAATTACCTGTTTATTTTATCTAGCGGTAATCTGTGGTTATATTTTACTCCTCTTTCATTTACTCTCATAAAACCTTTGTAAAGTGTGAGTGTACTTTTACTCTCTTTTCGTATCTGTTTTTTGGTGAAGGATGATAACCCAACAGCAGGTCTAGGGCTTTCACAACAGCGAAATGCCAGCACCTCAATCCTAGAAGGACGCAGGTCTGAAATGTGCAGCAAGTGAAACTGGATGCTCATGGCGGCAGGAAACTGAAAGCTATTTCCAAAGGATCTCTAAACAGTAAGACAAAAAAGGATGATAAGGGCTCGTGAAAGCCCAGCATGTCTACCATTCCTCAAAAAAACCCAAACAACCAAAAATCTATCCTGATGATCATATTTCCCCCCTGAAAAGCAGTCAATAGAACTGAAAAGGGAAACCAGAATGCATCAATGCACTGGGACTGCAGGTGATGAGCCATTGCCATCGAACCCGCTCTCTTCTACTACATGTATTAGGTACTATACTAGAGTTTAAGACAAACATTTTACAGTGGTTGCCATAACTTGAACTGCTTCTTCCTTTTCACTTAGGAATATCTTCACCTTCTGAAATGTATCTTCATGTTGGAAGAGCTAAGCAAACCCAAGATCTACATGAGTGACAGCGAGAGCATTATGCCTGGGCAGCAGAGATACCTGGAAAGGGAGAAGCAATGAGAGCAGCAGCCAGTCACATCACAGGTGCCTCGAAACCCACAGATACCACAGGCAAAAGTGGATGCTGGAGAGACAGCTTAAAACACGCCATATTTGATTACCTACATCTTGTGGGTCAGTGCAGCATTGGTATTCACTAGTAGGACAGAGAATACACGTATGTATAAAAAACTGCAAGTGTCAAATGCCGTAACAGAACAAAAAGGATCCTTTTTGTTACTTACTAGAAAATACAGGCATGCTTATATATTAATAGACTAAATACTGACACAAAATGCATGTTTTGTCTAAATAGGAACTCCTGACTGAATACTTCTCGTGTTTAAAATTTACCACAGCAATACAATAAAACCAAAATGAAGTATGAACTTGAGATCATATTCAAAAGTTCAAAAAGGCATGGACGCTTCACTGTAATTTCTGAATAATAATCACAGTTTCCCTTTTCTGGAAACACTGAAAAAATATTTTTTTGCTGTGGCCCTATAACCAGGTCGCCTTTATGGCTGCTTGCATCACTGTGGTATCTGAAGTATGGCTTAAACTGGGAAACAGCTGGTAACTCTTTGGAGAACAGAAACGGAAAAATCCAGAAATATTGTTTTTAAACATGCATCCAGATTTTCAGAAATAAAACCTTCAGATAAGAAACTTTTTCTTTCTTTCTCTCTAAATACAACTGCTAGAAGAGTTGCTGCAGTTGCGCTTCACTGAATGCATGCATTTTATGTTCCAACATCTGCTTCTTTTGCAAAATTACAGTCATACTTGTTTCCAATCAAGAAGCTACACTTTTGACTTCCTAAATTACGTAATATTTGAAACAATTGAATTATGAGTCAAGTTATCACAGAATTGTAAGCATGATAACCAATTTCAAATCCCTTGATTCCTGTACAATACAAAATTTAAAGCATGAAACAATAAAAATTTTCCACATCAAGGTCTTGATTACCATAGTTTACCATTACTGTTCAAAAGCACGGTACCTAATGCTCTTAGTAAGTATGTTAACCATATTTGTTTTGGTCACTCACCACTATTTTTCATTAAGGATGTTTTAAGCTACAGGCTTAGTTCTAGCAAAAAAAAAACAAAAACAAAAAAAGAAAAGAAGTCTAATTTAAGGTGAATACACATATATATGGTTTATGAACAGTATAAAAATAATACCTATTTTAAAATTTCCCTTTAATGCTCCTTTGCCCTCTCCCCAAAATACATAACACAATTTCTAAGAAAAATATTAATCTGACAAATATGCTACTGTTGTGTTCTGCTGGCTGTTTATGCAACATATATTGTTACAGTAGAAATATAAAATAATACCATAACTAGCTAAATGCTTTAATGCCAAGTCTGTAAAATTCTATTAACATCAAATATTATTTGTTTTTATCATCTAAATAAATTAGCTTAGGCTGTCACTCACACCTTTTTATTCATTTTTTGTTTTGTCTTACTGCATGCATCTCTCTCAAAGTGAAAAATGTCTATTTAAAGATAAGTAGAAATACCACAGTACATAACGTTTTCATGTCAAAATAATTACATTATTATATTCTGAGTTAAATAATATAAGATAGGAAAACATTTTGATATGCATTTGACAGTTGTAATCCTGGCAGGATCAAATCAACTTCTTCCAAACTAATTTCTGCTAGATAAAAACAAGGAGCACCCTGACGCAAACAGCCACCCCTCTCACCCATCTAAGCCCCCTCACAGAAGAGGGACGAGCCAGGACAGGACAAAAAGGTCCTGCTGTACTTTTCTCAAAGGCTGAGCCATGTTTTGGTCTGTCACAGAAGACTCATTTGTTCTCAAAAGAACAATATGGAATTACATTAGCTTGAAACATGAAATTTGGTAGTTGGATTGTTATGAAGAGATGATCCTCGAAATAACTGGTGGAAAGAAAAGGTAGTTCTCTCTCTTGGCATCTTGTAGAGCTGTGCTCTGTCATGGAACAAATGTGGCTTTGCTGAGAGAGGGACCCAAAAACTGTGTGAGTGGAGGCACAGCTTGCGAGACAAAGAGGTAGCGGATGTGCTCGCGCATGCTTTTCTGAAACGTGTACTCCAAACAGCTTCTCGTGCACTACTTTCATGGCAGTAATGTCCATGGTTTCAAGTGTTCCATTTTTTTTCTTCAGAAATAGATCAATCTGGATTGGTTGATACCACTACATTTCTCACAAATATGTAATACTCCTTTATGAAGGGATGTATTTTTTGATTTAACAACCAAATTTAAGCTGCATTTAGACACTTCTCTGTCTTATGCTGCATTGTTATAGGCATATCATGCACCATTTTTGTGTCCCCTATGGCATAAAACAAGTATTTTCCATTATGCTTTTATCTACATAGCCTTCTAGTCCTTAATAAAGAGAAGAGTTTATCTCCATCCATTTTTCAGAGGAAAGAGCAGAACTATATTTTCATCATGTCTTTGAAATAAGTCCTTTGTTTGTTAAGGATACAGAAAGATATTTCAAAAAAAATGTCTCCCATGCATTTATTATACTTCAGTAAGTATAACTAAAATAATTTTATTTGCAGCATTAATTTAAATCTTGGAGATCAAGTAAGGATCTTGTTTTCACAAAAATAATGACTCTACATGTTTCTCTTATAGGTCAGTATAATTCAAACTGGTTTGGAGAAAAATTCTCCTTAGGACTTGTACGCTTAGCAGATGTGAGGTAACTACATCTAACATCAAGAAGATGACACATTCACATCACCTGTAGACCCAGGCTAAGTTTGGGAGCTTAAAATAGCTTTTGGCAAGTAAAAAGTTAAACAGTTGCCTTATACACACTGAAAAATTAAGCACAGAAAAATTACGCACAGATACATGGGTTTACTCAGTAGTAAGCCTTGAAGCGCTTCAGAAATGTCCATATTTGAGTAACCTGTTTTCTTCATGTTTCTATTTCACCATTTCCCTTTTGACACAGAGATTATGATTTTCTTCCTTAGTATCACAAATTGTGCTAACTTACTTTTTTACCTGATCTCTTTCACATGAATTCTGCTTTCTCTTACTTGAAGCCTTTTCCCCTTGGTGGTTCGCTTTAACACTGTGACATAACAAATGCATGTTTGCTGTTGTGACGAGTGTGAGAGAAAGCATTGTATTTCTGATGTCGTTTTGATACATCACAGTGCTACAGAATGAAAAAAATCACCAAACCTAACACTTTACAATACTCTTTTCATTCAATCTACCAGAGGTAGAACATGACTTATTTAATATATAGAAGACAGAATTTCTATCTGCCCAGTTTTAATAAAATACCAGGACAAAAGAACCATAAAATGTCCTGAATATTAATTTTCTCTTCTCTAACATGCAGTAAACAATTTTTGGTTTCAAACTGCAAAGTTAGACAATTTTATAACCAAGTATGTGCGATAGTAAGTAATAAATTAGGATACAGGCATGAACGTGTATCAATACAGGAAAACAAATTTTAAAAAAGCAGTTTTACTCAATAAAAGAAATCTTTGGCCCATAAGAAATCAGCTGCATTCCCTCTATATTTGCACAGTCAAGGTTTCACTCCACATATATATGGCCATTAACAATGCTTTTCCAAGCATCCTTACAGCTGACACCAGACAGCTGAACCAGATATCCTCAACCCAAACACAAAGAATAAAGTTACAAAGGTGTTAACAGAAATTACGTAACTTTCTGCAAGTTCAGTTACAGAAACTTTAAATTTAAAGATATAAGGTATCAATGACGAAAATTAAGAGGCTCTAAATTTGCAGGCAATATAATCAAGGTTTCCAACCTAATTTTAAGGGAAATAATAATTAAAGACATGATAGTCCTTCTACAACCCTCTCAAACTACACTGGCCATGTAGAAAGGGAAGAGGAGAGCTGGTATTATGTACAACACCGTACACCATCTTCAGTAGGTCACTGGTCTTTTAAATAATCTCTAGTGAACAAATAAGATTTCAGAAAGTTTTTAGTAGATAATTACACTTCCTGATTTTGTAATTAGTGGAACTACATGTAATTACATAATAATTATGACGGTAATTACGTAATTAAGATGTATAATTATGTAGTAAAAAACATTATGGAAATAAAAGCCATCAACTGTATAAGCACAATACATTTTTAAAAATAAATTCTGTATCATCTGTTTAAAGCTACCATTTTCCTCAAAATATCAAAGTGATTATGAGCCATCACTGGCAAGTTCTAAAATACATTTCTTACGAGATTTAAAAATCATACAGATAATTGTATCTTTTTTTAAATCTCTTTAAAGCCTTAGCTTTACATTATCCTTCTGATGCCTAGGCAGATGTATACCGAATGGATTATACAGTGTTAAATAGTTTATATTTATATTTCCAATTTCTACTAAAATAATTTTTAAAAAATTAGCAACAATGCCTAAATCTTGGTATCTAAAAGGCAGGAAATTTATTTTTTTGGAGTACACTGTCCGATTTATCAAAGTTATGGGTCTTCTAAAAGGAAAAACATGCTAGTCTTGCACTTTCCACTAGAGAAAAGAGCTTACTGCTGTGAGAAGCAGTAGTCATTAAAAGAAGCCTTGTCACTTAGAAGAGGACGAATAACCATTCCAATTCAGGAGGAGTCAGAAGTTAGTTAAGCCACTACTTCATCCCACCTGCAACATTAATACAATGTGCAAGGAAAAAAAGTCTTCATTAATCAAAACCATTTTATTAGAGGTATGAGACACAGTAAATGCACTCCTGTCATGCTACAGATTTCCCACATTGTGGATGTCACAACTGTTTTAACTCATTATTTCCATTTATTTCATTCACAAGCAAAGAAAATAAAAATTCGTAACTCCAAGAGATGTGTCACAGCCCATTAAGTTTTATGCTCAGAGAAAGTTATAGAAATGCACAGTGTAATGGGGTTTACTTAGATGTGGTAGGTTTAACAAAAAGACCACACAAGCAGAAATAGAATAGAGAAAAAGTTACACTTAAGATGTTAAAAATGTCCAACCGGAAATAAAAAAAAGTATGATAATTATGGGAGAATGACTTAAGATTAGAAGATTAGCTAAATGTCCATACATTACTTCAAAAGGGTTAAAAAACCTACAGTGATTAATTTTCAGTAGTTTTTGCTTTCAACAAAGTTAGATTTGAAAATACTCAAGAAACAGTGACTCAAATTAAAAAAAAAAAGTTCAGAAATCTTCCTCTTCAAAACAAGATGTTAAAGAAAAATGAACAAGTGCTTTTGAAGATATACTCAAAGATTAAATTCTTGAAAATTATTATTTTACAATCTCTTCAAAACAACATGATTGGAAGACAAAGTACTTGACAGCAAATGTGCAGAGGAGCATTTGTTTGCTCGGATGCAAAGATCACTATAGTGAAGTCTTTGCGATAGTGTCTGGAGATGTGACTCAAACAGAAAGGCTTTGTTTATCGGACTGTACTCTCCCAAAAGAGATATGCCAAATTTCAGCTGCTGCCATCTTAAAAATAAATGCATACACACATATGCACATAGGTTATTTATATGATTTCTCATTATCTTCCCCCGCAAAGCACATGTAGATTTTCTATTTTTTGCAACAAGTACTTTCTTTGTAGTCTTCCTGCCTGTCTATTGATAAAAACGTGGCAAACCGTTCTGATGCCAGAAGTCTCCATTTCATTACACTAGTTTCACATACAATACAATCTTTCCAGCTCCATTTCACACCTGCTCTCCTCCCTTTATCTGACCAAAACTCCACACTGTCTCTTCAAATGGGAACACCTCCTTGCTCAGGCCCATCCTTTCAACCCCAGTTGTCAGTCTGTCTCCCTCAGTCTCACCCCCGTCACCAGTCGCAGAAGGACATACACTAAACCACACTAACAAGCAGCTCTGCCAACATCCCCGTTATAAATTGTCTTCTTTCAAAGAGCTATAAAAAAATTAAAATAATCACTTCAACCTGCTACTTGGCACACCAAGTTATGAACATACTGGGGAAAAACACTAACACTGAAATGACAGGATGCATACAACTATTCAGAGCTGAATGTTATGGTTTTATGTCTAGGTCACAGCCTAGAAGAGTTTCATTTTTCCCAATATAATTTTGCAGTTTATTCATCCATAGGTAAAGTAGGCACTTCTGGTGTTTGCATGGAAGGGTGGAGTGAGGGATGTACAAAGCTGTGATAAAAGTGTGAAAATATCCTCTGAATATGCATTTGGTTTTACAAAATCACAGTCCATAGATGTATGATCAAAACAATTTATTCTATTTCCACCAAGTGGCTTCTACTTTGAAGATGTAGGCCTTCCTAACAAACAGGAACATTTAATCACTTTTCCCAAAGCTATCTTCCTCCCATCCTCACCTTCTTCTGCTTATCCATTAAACGAATACGCCCAGACTTTTCGAATCCAATAGTCATGAGCTCAATAGTTGGAAATATTCTGTGAAAGAATATACTGCAGCATCTTCACAATTTCTGTCCCTGAAATACTTGAAACACCTTGCAAACAACATTTTTGACCTTTGCTCTCTTAGAAACAGGACGGTGGAAAGGTGGTGGCTTTCAGTCCCATTCTACAGTATGGAACAGAAAAAAACCCTATGACCAGGATCCTATTCCTCTGAAAAAATTGCAGCACCATAAACAACCTCAGTGATATAAATCCTTTTGGAATAATGCTGCAGTCATTGTGATAAAGGAGACTGCAGTATCCTTATCTTCCACGAAGACTTCTATTTGATGCCAGGAGGGGGAACTGAAACAGACACATCTGCGTGAGGCAGAGTAGTCGTACTGACTTTATGTGGGCTCCACTTCTCTTTGTTTTTAAAGGTTTTCATTTTACTGTAGCAGTAAAATGAAAACAGTAATATCTTTGAATATTTAACAATACCAATATTTGAATGGAATAATGATATAAAGCTTACTACACTCTATTTTGATCTCCTGATGACACAGCCATAAAAATACATTGGTTTCCATTTCTGAAGTTAAGGCGTACAGAGGGAGTATACTCCTGCATTTAAACATCACGTGTTTAAAATCACTGATAGTTTACCCATCCTTTTTTTCATCCAAATTAACAGATGATGCTACTACTTTGCTAATCCCGCTGCTTGTCACTACTGACTGTTCACTTAAGTAGCAATGTCCGACAAAATCCACAATAGCTTTGAAAAACTAAGTGTAAGAAAGTGCTGAAAACATTTTGAGTATGTTACTAGTCACAATGGAGCACTTTTTCCTTTCCTGATTAAAAAAATAATACAAAACAAATAGCCCTTACGGTATTATTGGTATCTGTAAATTAGGGGGTTTGGCACAGCGATATTGAAAATTAAATTGGTTTTTGACCCAATACTAACTGCGCAACAGTTCCTAATTGAGAAAGACAGCAAAGGAACTTCAGAATTCCACTTTGTGTAGTATGACAACTAAGAACTTGCATGGTATCACAGCGTTAACATTAAACCATATAATCATAACAGACCTTAAACTTCCAGATGAATGGAAACAGTTGTTTCGAGGTTAAATGCTACTAAATAATAGGACTAAAGACCTGTAACTATATAATTCAGGTATTCCTGGATGGTATAATTGACAGCTAACTTCACCAGTCCCTGAAACAAGAAACTATCATGTAGACCAATCAGCTTATTTTTGATTCTTAAAGGGAAAAGATGGACCAACAACAGTATATAATGATTACAGTAGATCACAAATGCAACACGAGTGAACGATGTTGTTGCAAATGTTGAAAACACCATACTGGTATAAATAAACACAAGAACAGTCTGTAAAACATGTTAATTAATCCTCTGCTGGATTCCACTCTAGTAGATCTGACCTATTGAAGGTCTATTAACACAAACCAAAACCAAACACGCAGAAAAGTGGAAAACTCTCCCCGTGTTCCTCCAAAGAAATTCAGGTTAGTAGCTGAAAGAGACTTAGAAGATAGCATACAGGTTTTAAATATGTAAAATTCTCTAAGAGAATAGTCTATCACTCATAGTACACAGAATAAGCTTCAGAAAGCAAAGTTCATCTTAGGTATAAAGAAGAGCTCTCTATAGTAAGTACAGTGAAGCACCAGAAGAAACTGGTTGTAAAACTTGACAAGTCGTAGAACCCACATCACCAGAGGATTTTTAAATTTAGCCTATCTTTAAAAAGTGGGCTATAGTATTGATCCTCTTGCAGGGAAAGGCAGCAGCTTGGATGTCTTTTTGGACTCCCACTGATTTCACAATTATTATTTTAGATTCTATTTCAATAAATAGTGTAAACCTTCACATAAATAGCTGAACAAACCAAATCTGTTCTGCAATTAAAGTTCTGTATTTTGAAGAAGCAAGTACAGAAAATGCAAGGGAACTAGTAGCGAAATCTCGAGGTTCTAAATGAGAAAATACATTCATTCCTTCAAACAACAGTGGAAAATACATTTATATCTTGAACCTCTAGCCATTGAAAATTCTTTCTCTTTATAGAAGAACATTCCAAGATGAATAACACCTACAGCTGCTATTAAAAATAAACAGAATCTACAAGAGAGAAGCTGAGCTGGTCTTTAAAAAATCAGGAAAAACAGCAATAAAATGTAGAATTGACAGAAGTCCATGCAATTCAGGCTTTGAAAAACAATGTCCCAAAACAAAGCGAAAAATCTCCTCAAATCAAAATTAAAACAGTAAATATGTGGTTTAGTCACACAGAAAGTAAAGAGGAGACTGCAAATACCAAAGAAATACAAAACATACATTAAAATTTTGCCACCATTTTTGATAAAAGCAATGATCCTGATCACAGGTCAAGGACAGAATGGCTTGTGAAGGATGGCATGGAATCAAAACTTTTTGGCTTCCAAGCGAAAATAAACATGAGCTTCATGTTATCAAGAGGAGTTCACTAAATTTCCACTTCGATACTACAACAAAATTGGAACATGAAAATTATTTCAATCCTACAGAGTTTTAAACTAAGTTTATAAAATCAGTAACATATATTAGTAGAAAACAAAACACTGGTATCTATAAAATCAAATGTGATCCGAATAGCCATAGGCAATTATCCTCAAGTTCTGCATGTATTTTAGAGCAACAGAAAGATAACTTCCTCCTAAAAGATATCTGAAAAATGAGATAAAATTGTACACAGTTTTACCAGACTCACCTAGTTAGTCTCTTTGAAGAGAATCCATTTTCAATGGAAAACTAACAGACCTAATTTATCTGGCCTTAACACCTGCTGCAGCATCAAGACTGAAATCACTGGCTGGCTGAAGAAGACTATACAATAACTTTCAAATGCTAAGAAAAAGATAAAAATACACCACGTTGAAAGGTAAACTGTGCAAAAGAACAGCAGGTCCTAACAGAGTTCTTACAATTCCTTGAGAATCACTCTGGAAACTAATCTTATTCGACTTTCTCCAATTAGCAGTGAGGGTCCAAGAAACATTTTCTGGTTAAGGCAGAAGGTAGGAAATTATGTGAATGCAGAAGCCACCATACTGTTTTTCAGAGAAAATTAATTAACTTTGAAGTCTAAAATTACAAATGAGATTAAGTAGTCCAAAATGAATGAAACCAAGAGAATCAAAGTAAAACAAAATGCCATGAACCTGAGATATGAACTCATGGTTCCAAAATGACAGAAGGAAAAAACCAACACCCTCAAACCTCAAGATTTCTGTCATTACTTAACTAAAAGTTAATGATATGATACAGCTCTGAACAGGGCATAGGTGATTCAGGAAAGCATCAGCAGAGGTACTTCCAGCAAACGTACAGATCCAGCGTACAAGACAATGGATAGATACCATCTAAAATACCATGTAATTTCTAGTTTCTCATACTCAAAGATTAATACAACCTAGAAAAGACTACAAAAGTGACAGGAGGAAGGATTATGCAGCAGAGACCAATTCTTCCTAAAGAAAGCTGAGAGTGTCTCTGCCTTAGTTTAAAACAAAATAGAAATGTTACCACTGTTTGCAAAAGCATAGTGGAGAACATCAGGGAAGGGAAATAAATAAACATTTAGTGAATGGACATAAACCAGTCACAAACAAGTCAGAATGCAAAAATTATAGTGAATTTTCAGCCATCATAGAACAAGGGTGTGAAACACGTCTTGAACAGCAACAAAAGGGGAAGAACCACCCACAGGTTTCAAAATGAAGTGCCATAAACTTGCAGTCTTTAAAACGTGGTCGTCTACAGTAGCAGGGGACTGGATGTGATCACCCATGAAGCCTCTTCTACTCTTATGTCCTTACATTAGGCAAGAGATCTACACATAAAGAAATTTGGTTTCACCTAGCAGTAGCACCCACCATATAACATTCCCTCAGAACACCTACAAAGTTGTGTTACACTGAGATGGCTATACAGCATGACCTTCTTTGGATGTACAAAGTCATCCTGGAGTGCAAGCATCAGAGTGAGTTTATCATCTTAGAGGGACTAGGAAAGGAAATGAGAACCTCTAAAAGAAGAAACGTAAGTACAACAGGCCAAAACCAGACTGTTCGCTTATTTGAGCATTTTTCAGCTGAGAGGTTACACTATTTTGATTCTCGTATAAGGCTTATCAAAAAAACATTTAGAAAGACTGAGTTTTGTTTATTCTCTTTCCATCACCCAGCAACCTAGCTGGTGATGTGGAGCAGGGCTGGGGAAGACTGTCACAGCAGAGCAGCTATCAGAATTGTAGTCTCGAGTGACAGCACCTTTTCTTCACAGGCACCACCAGAACCATACAGAGGATACTGTGGAAGTGCTCTCTGGAGACAATGCACTTCAACGGTGGGACCAAAACATGGCTTTATTCAGAATTCCAAGTCGGCCAAGCATTTGATCACCTTCAGAAATACTCTTCTGTCAGCTTGAAAATTGCTTAGCTGCACAAAACCCATGGTTCTATTACAGTTTAGAAAAGTTTTAGTTCAGAAATGTTACAGTAATTGGAAGAAGAGAAAAAAAGTCATCTTCCTAACATTAGCTTAATCTGTACATTTAACAGAGCTTTGTAGACAATTAACATTACTGTTTTTCTTGTGCCATCATTTTCTCCCTGCCAAAAAGTGTCTCCTCAATATTAATAGTTGAACATAATTTTTAATTGGCTCTTCTTTTAGATATTGTATACATGTTTTAATTAATCTATTTACTGAAGATGATGTGACCTTTGAACTTCACGCAAAGAGATTTCTCTAATGGTGTAAGACGCAAGGAAAGCACTTTTTCCAAAGTGTAGTAGCTTCAAAAGAAGAAAGTAGACACATAACACATTCTCAAAGTGGTTAACTTCAACACAACACACTCCTCATAGAGAAGATTTCTAAAGTCATACTTTCTTCTATTTTCTGTTTTAGATTACAGTCTCGTAGTTCAGATCTGAAGAGTAAAAATGTGTAAGTCTAGTTTCTAGCATGCAAGTTGCTATTAAACTATAGTTAATGAAATAAAAATTTAAACTTACCTTTATCATCTTCAGGAACCACTTTATCCAATGCATAATCCACATCAAAAATGTATCGGTAAAAGCAGAGCTGAGTGTACAGGGCCTTATCAGAATA